CAGCTAAGCTTTTTGTGCCGTTACAGCATGCCGCTGCGGGCCGCCCCCACCCCGCCGCGGCTGCCGCTTGGCAGGCCCACGCCGTCTACGCACCGCTCTTCGCCAGGCACCCCTTGTCCAACCAGCCTGGTGCAACAACTTGCAACAGAAGAAGGACGAGCACTCCCCGGTGCCCAAGACGCAGTTGCTCTTAACCGTGGCTGTTGAGACCAACGCCCTCCCAAGCAACACTTTGGTGCACCTCTTATGGGCGTTGCACCTTGCGACGCCGCCTGACGGGTACATACCCGCAACTGTCCAAGAGGCGTTGCTGCACGTTTTTCATGGGGGAGCAAGCGGCGTCGGCACTGTTGCGCGATGTCACCGCACTGCACCGTGATGGCTTGCCTGCCGCCGGTGATGCCGCCCCCGAGGCGAGGCCCTGGCCGAGCCTGCCACGCCGCTCCCGGGGCCGCGTGACGACTCGTCCACGTCCAGCTCTTCCTCGAGGCAGACTCGTACCTTCATTTGCCAGGGATGGAATTCTAGGTCCTTGCCTACACAATGCGCTCCTTGCTTTGGACCGCTACAATGCTGCAGACACCCTGAGCCGGCCCCGTGCCCTGTTCCGCGTCCCGCCCGCCTCCATCTGTGCGCCTACTGCACACCATAGCCTGCATCAACACATGCCCTGATCCCGTCGCCATGGCACCCGCCTCGCACGTGCACAGCTGCCGGCAGCCATTGCGCAAGCCCTTGGTTTGGGGCGGCTCATTGCCTTTCGCAAGCCTGGGGTTCGGGACATTGTGGTCGGTAAATATCTGCGCCGGCTGGTTGCCAGGCCTTTGGCTCAACACCTCACCCCTGCGTTCGATGTTGCCTCCCGGCCCCACCAGTATGCACTGGCTACCCGTGCAGCTTGAGCGCGAGATGGGACCCACGTTGACTGTCCTCTCGATTGATGGTGTCGGGGCCTACGACCTCACTAGTCGACAAGCCATACTCCGTGCCTTCCGCAATACACCCGATGCTGCCAGTGTCCTGCCGTTTTACGGTTGTTTTACGGCCAGCCTTCCACCTTCCTTTGGCGAGACGATGCAGGGGTCGTCCATCGCATCGTGCAAGCGGAGGGCGGCGAGCATCCCTGATCCAGCGCTGTTTGCCTTGGGTATCGCCCCTGCGCTGGCCGCCTTGCAGGCTGAAGCGCACACTGCCGAACGTGTGCGGGCTTTCCTGGACGATGTGTACGTGACTTGACCACCTCCTCGCGTCGCACATCGTTTGGGCAGGCTGCAGCACCACTTGTTTGTTCAGGCGCATATTCAGCTCAACCCCTCCAAGACCCGCGTGTGGAACGCAGCTGGCGTCAGGCCCGCATCGCTGCCTGCGCCTGCCGGTGCGCAGGCCTGCGTCGGGGACCCGGAACTCCCCGCTGCAAAGCGCGGCCTCCGCGTGCTCGGCACCCCTCGGCACACCCGAGTACGTCGCTGCACAGCTTGACACTTTTGACTGCACAGCAGGGCCGCTTGCTAGCCAGACCCCCCGATATTCCAGACCTTCAAGTTGCTTGGTTGTTGCTGCTGTATTGTGCTTTGCCCTGCGCACAATACGTGCTCCGGATCCTGCCGACCCCAGCGAGGGCTTTCTCGGCTGCGCATGATCGCTCCATTCTTTCCTGCCTTGCAACCCTCCTGCGTGTTGGATCCGCCTGCGAGTTCTCGGCCAACGAGCTCGTTTGTGGCCGCGCCCAACTCAGCCACATGGTAACCTTAATTTAAGCAGCCTGGCATATTTTGGCCACCTACTTCGCGTCGTTGGCCCCCTGCAAGCTATATCCTTTCGAGACCCGGAGCTTGCCGCCACCGCCGCACGACGGCTGCACCAACCACATGAGGCTGCGCCGTCGCTAGCCGCCCTGCAAGAAGCCGCCCACACACTCGCCGGTGCCGGTTTCCAAGCCACGCGATGGGACCCCTTGCCTGAGCAACCGGATGACCAACCCACCGACTGCACTCGTGGATGGCAGCGCAGTGCGTCCTTTGCACTCGACGCGGCTTTGGCCTTTGCGGCTTCCCTCACAGGTCGGCTCGATCCCTCATCAATGACCTTGCTGGAATCCCAGTCCGGCCCCTTCGCAGCCAAAGTACTCACAGCCTTGCCGATTTCCCCTCAACTCCAACTCGAGCCAGCGTCTTACCGTGTGATGCTGCTGCGCCGCCTGCGCCTGCAGCTGCCCCTGGTGCTGGAATTCTGCCCTTGCAGGCGCCGCCTCGATGCTTTGGGTGACCACCGTGCCTCCTGCCCACACTCCGGTTTGCTGCGCTCGCGAGCTGTCCCACTCGAGAAGGCAGCTGCTCGGGTTTGCCGTGAGGCGGGGGCCACTGTCGCGACCAATGTGCTCCTGTGTGATTCCAACCTTGTTGTCCAGCGGCAGGACGACCGGCGCATCGAGGTCATCGCCAACGGTCTTCCTCCCTGGAGCAGTGCCCAGCTCGCAGTTGACACGACGCTTTTGTGTGCCTTGGACTCGGCAGGGCAAGCCCGCCGCCACCAGCGCTCCACTGCCGGTGCCGCCCTACGCATCGCCCGCAAGGCGAAGGAGCGGACATACCGCGAACTACTCTGTTCCGCACGGTGCCGGCTCGTTGTGCTCGGAATTGAGTTGGGTGGCCGCTGGAGCACTGAAGCTGCGCAGTTCAGTTTTGGCAAACCCAAGAAAAAAAAACCTTGGGTTGGAAATCAATGTTAACAATTGAGAAAATTAGAATTATGACAACCGCCCCTGAGACAAACTTTGCCCACATTCATGTTGATGGCGACAAGGTTCAAGTACTCGCTGATATTGAAACACACATGTACCTCGGACGAAAAATCACCGCTGATCTTAGCAGATGCTCAGATGTTGAAGTTGCCCACCGTATCAACGCCGCTTGGGGCAAGTTCAACAAGTTCAGGATTAATTCAGGTATGTTCTGACAAATTGAGACGTTTCAATAAAGAGTTGTTTGCCAATATCCAATTTGTTCGGTCGTGGCAGCCTCCCCCTTACCAAGAGAAAATTGGAAGAAATTGACGCTTTGCAAAGAAAGCTGGTGTCGTGTCGAGGGCGAGGCTTCTTCTGACACCATGCGGCGTGGCGTACGAAGTCCAGAGTTCAATCTGCACTTCGCCAATCGCCGGTGACGGAATAGTCGGAAGTATATCGCAGCACACAGCACTGTTTCGGAGCTCGTATTGCCAAACAGAATGCTTGGCCATCGTTTGCTTCGGGCTGGGATCCAACTCGCCATAACAACTTCGCAACACAGCCGAGGAGAAAACCTGGCAGACCTCCGAAGCGGTGGGACGAGGATCTGAGAGGTTTCAGTCGTGCATATTTTCCTTTAACAGACGCTTGGCATGACGACGCTGATTCGCCAGAACGGCACTCTTTAGGACACCGCTATATTTACGGTTGTAAAGATGAAGTACCATAATTAGGTCCCGCCTGTCACCCATGTCCTTATGAGACCGATAGTCTTTGACTCGAACGCACAAAGTGCAAAGTGCTGGCCACGAGCGACAAGCGCCGGAGCCCCAGTGGTTCGCCTTGTTCGCACCCTGCTCCTTGGGCGATATCGCGGCATTACGAAAGAAAAGAGCTCGTGCGCGGCGGACTTGAGCGCAGTCAGAAACGACGTGCGTGAGATGCTGTCGTAGGCGCTGCGCCCATCCAGTGACACCAGCACCTGGTTTGGGTCCTGGTGCAGGACCTCACGGACATCGGTCGCCAGTGCATGCGTGCCCGCTCGCGCTTGCAAATCAAATTGGTAAGGGCTTGTGGTTATGGTTCTGTCATGTTCTGTCGAAGGTTGTTGCCCACCCCTAAAGTGCCCGACGCTAAGCGGCGGAACACGTCGCCTGTCGCTATGCCACCCAGGCCGCCATCTGGCTTGTTGTGAAAGCAGTGAGGCGAGCTAAAGTTAGTCTTGGAACGTTGTTTGCTGGCACCTGTGCATCTGCCAGCCGGGTACTGCCAGCAGATGCCAGGTGGCCTCGGTGGCCTCGTTATAACGTGCAAGCTCAGCAGCGGTGAGAAGATGGCGGGCCATGGAAAGCTCACCTTTCGTCACTTTAGCGCACGCGTGTTCGCGTTTTCGCTCGGCCATGGCCTCGGCATTAACGCTGGCACCCTGCTTACGGAGTGGATTGGATCGCCGGAGCAGTCCTTCGCCCTTGTGCTCCGTGAAGGTGCGTGCGAGCAAGAAGCATGCGTGGCGCAAGGAGAAACAGCTTCCAAGCGCGCGACGCGCGGGCTTCGTCAAGGGCCAGCGCGTGCCCTGTGGAGTCGCGGAGCTGTTGCAGGGCCGTGGTCAACGCTGCCCGCACGGCGGCTCGCTGAAGGGCGACACGTCCTGCCGTCCTGCAGCGTAGGCACCGGGCATCGGAGCTCTTCGGCGAAGTCCACCCTGTCCAATGCCATCCATGCCCCACCGAGAACTCCTCCTGCCTCGAGCCAGCAGCAGGGCCCGGAGCTAGACCGTGTGCACGACCTCGCCGCCGAGCAGCGGGGCGGAGCCGACTGCCGCAGCGCTACTCGTCATGCAGGCTGAAAGGTCAGGACAATGAAAAATTATGTCGTTTCCGCCGCCTGTTTGGCCTGCGGCGTGTCCTTCAGTAGTTACAGTCAAAGCGAGCAATTCAAGTTTCCTTGCCGTGGGTTTCGGTTCCACGCGATATATATATATATATAGATATATAGATATATATAGATATATAGATATATATATATATATACATGCCAGCGTTTGCACGAGACAACATGGAAATGTCACGTTGGTCATCCTACGCCAGCTCTGTCGTTATGTGTCTGCAGCGCTGGTCCGAAATCGAGGCGCTTGTTCTGAGAGGCATCCATACTACCAGCTGCAGGTGTCGGGCTGTAACACAAATCACGGCTATCATTTCGCATTGCAAACCGAGTGTCGCGACCTGCTATTGTGTTTACGGCCGGGGTCGACTGAGGCAAAAGATTGGCCGGCATGGCTACAACTTGCATGCCGTCTGGTACTGATTCGGAATGGTGGGTGCCATTGGAGGCCGAATGGGACAAGGATGGTGTCGTTTACTCGGGTTGGTTCGGCTTGACGCCGTTGCAGGCAGTCTCCTTCAACACTGCTTTTCCGGAGCCGTTGTACTTGAAGGTTGGAACCGCTCGGAACCCACGTTCACGACCGTGTCTCAACAGCCCTTGCGAGGTCCAGCAGGACACATCTGGCGAGTTCCGCGTCCTGGGTCTAGGTGTGGGAGAAAGCTCCGACTGCACAGGCGGGGTTGCACCTGCAAATGTGCGCGCTAGGAACTAGCAGTTGAGTTTTGCAACAGCAGTCGGTCCGCGAAGCAGAGAAACTGCAACATGCCCAGGACAAGGCTTGGTTCTGGGTGATGCCCCGGTTCCAGACTTAGCTTCGGTTTGGATTGCGTTGTGTCGACTGCCAGTTATGTGGAAGGCGGGACTTTGCAGCATGTTGCGAAGCTGAAAGAGACGTTAAGTGAAGCAGTTGATAACTTGATAACCATCACGGTGCAACGATGGCGGACTAAGTTAGCTTCAGGGCAAGTCTTCCGAGGCCAAGCATGTGGCCGTGGGCGCACTGCTGCAGACAAGCCCTGCCGCCGATGTGTGCTTGAGCAAGGATGCACGTTCAGTCCAATCGTTGTGCTTGTGGGAGATCTGCGGCGACCAGTTGCCAACGCCACTCGGCCAGGATGCTTCGGAAGTGATTGGCGTGCCTGGTGCACTGACCCTTCGCGAGGGCATCTTGGACGGTGATGCTTGTTAACTTGCAGATCTAACGTTTTACCCACCACCATAACATGCCAAGGCACAAATCCCTCTGTTGGGTCAGTTTTGCATGGCACTGGTGGCTGCAAGCCATGTGCGTGGTTCTGGAAAGAGCAGGGATGCCACTAGGCTGCACAACGAAGTTCGTCAGCGAAGCTTCACACCTTTAAATGAGTGTTGTTTAGTGGTGGCCGTGTTTGCAAAGTGAGATTCATCACGGGCTAGCTGTTCCGCACAAACAATCATCCGATAAGTTCTGCATCATCCTGTGCACTCGGGACGCGAAGAGCTACGGACACGCACACAACAAGCACCAAAACAGTTGGGGGATCGGCGATTGTGTTTGGACAGAACATTATAGAAGGCGCTTAAGCGGAAGCATGCTGCGACTTTCTTTTTTCGCGAGAACTTTTTTTAACACGCATCTGCAAACGCGCACCAACTGAGCCGGGTTCTATCGTTGACCAGCAGATGTTCCAGCCAGAAAGCCACGACTCCGTTTGGAAATGTTTGGCAGATGATGCCTAAAGAGAAGCTGCAATGTTGCCAACCCCAATCGGACATGCAAGAACATGGTCTCACGTGAGGAATGCTACCGGCTACCGTCAACGGAGCGATATTGTCCACCCTCCTGTTAAAAAATGGGGCAACTCTCTTCAGCCGTTCTGTATGTAGAAGTTGAACAGGGCAAGATCTTTCGCGTAACAAGAGGTCGGGGAAATATTTAATTCCTCTTCCAGTTGTATGCGTCATATGCGGAGGTGGGGTCGGGGGGGTGATGTGGTGGCGATGTGTGTGTTGGTTTGTTTACAGAGAATCGGAGGACGCAATTGTCATGGACGAAGAAGGCTTAAATTTCCGTATCACTACTATATAGAGAAGCTACTTGGCGTCGCTTCAATTTGTATATGTAATTGTACAGGTAGTTATGTAGGTGTATGCGCACATATATATATATATATACGTAGGTATGTATGTATGTATGTATGTATGTATGTATGTATGTATGTATGTATATGTATATATATATATATATGTATATGTATGTATATGTACGTATATGTACGTATATGTATGTATATGTATGTATATGTATGTATATGTATGTATATGTATGTGTATGTGTGTATATGTATGTGTATGTGTATGTGTATGTGTATGTGTATGTGAATGTGTATGTGTATGTGTATGTGTATGTGTATGTGTATCTGTATATGTATATGTATATGTATATGTATATGTATATGTATATGTATATGTATATGTATATGTATATGTATATGTATATGTATATGTATGTATGTAGGTATGTATGATGTGTGTATGCATGTATGTATGCATGTATGTATGTATGTATGCATGCATGTATGTATGTATGTATTCATCCCTGCCTGCATGCATATGATGGTACGGATTGTTATATTGTTGATGGTGATGATGCTGATGATGATGACGATGCTGCTGACGATGCTGCTGCTGATATGATGATGGTGATGGTGATGATGATGATGATGAGGGTGATGATGCTGATGGCTTAGTCTTGCTCTTGGTTGCATGAGGGATGAGATGCATGAAAATCCGTTGTGATAGGCGCACATGGATATACAGGTATGCATAACGAAACGAAGCACACTCACATGTCAATATGTATGTGCTTCTACGCACAGACACGTGCGCATAGAGATATGTATACCTTCAAGGACCAGGATGGATAGAGAAAGATTGTATGTATTTGTATACATTAACAGCCAGACGCGCAAGAGATGTATGTGTTTCGCCCTCATGGGGCCACATCTCGCAACGAACAAGCTCCCTTCCTCATGCATTCCGAGTCTCACAGATGTAACAGGTGTCCAGTGCACCCTTTGACTGCGCAGCAGGACGGGGCTTGCATGTGGCACGGTCCATCATCCTTGTCTGTGTTCGAAATACAGACTACTTGGAGGTTCATGGCTAGTTATAAGTAGGGTTATAAGTAGGGTAACTATAACTATAACCCCTATTGGGGGACTTATAAATAAACCCACTTATAACTATTCATGAACCTCCAAGTAGAGGTGCAGCCAGCTCCACTGTCATCCCATGGCTTCCCTAGGCAGATCTGTTTGGTCTTGACGGTGTAACTTCCGGCAAATGTGGGGGTTTCCGAAAAATAGGGGACCCTAATATAGCACCCTAAATAATAGGATCCTTATTATAAGGACCCCAAAATAAGGCACCCAAATTTTCGGAAACTCCCATATCATCCTTGGTCGGAAGGATTCTGGAATTGGAAGAAAGGTTGGAGCGATCCCAAGAAAGAGTGGTGCTGCTTGCCAGAAGAGCATGTGAGGGGATGCTGGGGTTTTGTGGTTGAATCAGCCGCACACGGTGCACATGTGGCCGAGATACATGTCCATTCTGGGTGCGCAAGTGGTAGATGCTGGCGACGGTGGGACTCGGTGTAGCGCATGTTCAGACCAGACGACGGCGTGTGGATAATTCATGTTGCTTCGTTCTCAGGCCGGATCGTCTTACTTGGTATAGTATAGAGTATAGAGTCAACAACCAACAATGTCGTATCATTATTCTTAGGTGAACAGATCCGGCGCAATGTCAAGCGTGTGGATGCTGAGAAAAAACCGGGTGTTTGCGGGAACCCAGCCCAGAGTCTTTACTGCGGAGGAAGCCCGGCCCAAGGTACATAGTTGTGACATGTGGCCCTGCAGTTTGAGTGATCATGTGGTGAAACGCGCCTCGCACTTGGAGGTTCATGGGTAGTTATAAGTGGGTTTATCAGTCCCCTAATATGGGTTATAATCATAGTTACCCTACTTGTAACCCTACTTATAGCTACCCATGAACCTCCAAGCATGCCAAACTTAAAGTCGGCGCCCCGCCAGTCCCCTCGCATGTGTGCCGTAAGCTACCCTGCAAGCACCGTCAATTACTCTCGGGCAGTCTGTGATGTGGACCTCTGACTCATTGTTACGGGAGCGCGGTGTATGAAGCAGATCTAAACCCTAAACCCT